CTTGATGATCTTAACATCGCGTGGACCTTTGCCACAGGATTTCCTAGTGCAAAATTCAGAGGAGTTCCAAATCTATAAAGCACACTCAGATAACTACATATGCTCCCTCATTCCAGGAACTTCCAGTTCTAGTGGTCAATATACTCCTGGTTAGCAAAAACTAACTCTTTGCTTGTCATTACTTTATGTGTGTGCATATATGAGGTCTTAATCCTGTTTTTTGTTTGTCCTTAAACATTAAGCATTTTTTCATATTGATACTTGAATTTTTAAAATATTCATTTTGGTCCTTAAAACTTTTTTCTTTAATAAACGTTCGTTCTTGTCCAAAACTTTCAAAATGTCTATTTTAGTACTTCAACTTCTAAAAAAGACAATTTTTGTCCATTACCATCAATTTGTGCTTGCTACCTAATATTTACCCACCCAATACTCAGTTTCAACTTACCTATGTGGATTCATTGAGTGCCAAAGTTCATACATTAATAAACGTATTAAAGATATACTATCCATTCATTTAAATCAAAATGGTACTTATTAAAGTTTAGGAACAATTAAAGACAAATATGAACGAAAGTTTAAAGTAAATAGGCCAAAATAGATATTTTGAAAGTACAGTGACCAAAGTGACCAAAATGAACTAAAGTTGGAAAGAACATGAAACAAAATTAACTAAAATTGAAAGTATAGACACTAAAATCACAGGATGAAGGACTAAAATGTAGTTTAAACCTATACACATGAAACCAAAAGCAGAGCCATTACACAAACAAGACAGAACAGATCCCCATTTTCAATGAAAACAAATCATGATCATGAAATGATAAGTGCAGGAGGACTATTTTTCAAAGGAAGCGAGAGCAACCTGCAATATGTAACTTCAGCAGCCTTCCTCCTTTTAACGTACGCGAAATACCTAAGCTCCAACGGAGGATCAATTCGATGTGGAACTTCAAGGATTTCACCAGAAGAACTAATCGCAGAGGCAAAGAAGCAAGTTGATTACATATTAGGAGAAAATCCAGAGAAAATGTCATACATGGTGGGATTTGGAGATCGATACCCTCAGCATATTCACCATAGAGGTTCCTCTGTCCCGTCTCTTCATTCGCGCCCTAATCGAGTTTCTTGCAATGAAGGCTTCCAGTTTCTGTACTCTTCTTCCCCCAATCCGAACGTGCTCGTCGGCGCCATTGTTGGTGGACCTGATAACGGCGATAAGTTCTCCGACGATCGCAATAACTATCAGCAGTCGGAGCCCGCCACTTACATAAATGCCCCATTTGTTGGCGCCTTAGCCTATTTTTCAAAAACGCCCTAATGGATAATCCACCCTTTGGGAGGAGCTAAGAAGGAAGGAGAGAGAGGTCATTTTGGACATTTGTCTTACGAGTCTCGTAGATCGAGCTCGGTCGATCGAAAGTTCAAATCTCCACTTCTTTTATTGAGCTAAAAAATATATATATTAACGTTTTAAGAATCCGATCTTGCTGAGTCTAATAGATATTTTCTAGTTTATTTAGTTTTTTCTCGTTTACTCTTATACTCTTGAATTTCAGTAGCTCGGGTATTGGGTTTTAACCCTATGATATATAAACGATATAGGAAATGACCGTATAAAAGGATTTCAAAGCTCAAAACGGAACAGTAAACCCGATCTCCGAATCTATTATAATCATTAACAAAATTAGGGTTTGCTCGACCGCTCGAAAGTTCAAATCTACACTTCTTTCGTTGAGCTAATATATATATATATATATATATATACATATTTAAAAAGTTAATTTAAATATAGTTCGGTAGATAAAACATATTATTATTAAAATCTTCATATCTCGAACGTTACAGGTCAGTAAAACAGACTGTTAAGTATCTCAGAAGTAAGTTTAATTAAGCTGATTGAGACGGAGATCATTGGTGCCATCGAGGAATTAAATAAATAAATAAATAAAATAAAATAGGAAAATCAAAATTTAATTTCTTCCTTCCATAGGTCGTCTTCAACACCAAGATTGGTGGAAGTATAAATTTCCAAATTAAAATAAATAAATAAATAAAAATAATTTATTGATTCCGATATAACTAGGGAGATTTGCAGAAGCAGATCTGAGAGAGAAGAAGAAAACTCCGATCGTCTTCTTCGTCGGCTTCAACTCTCCTCGCCGTGGCCGCCATGGATTTCTCCTCCTCCATCTTTCTCCTCCTTGTTTTCCTCTTACCTATATCTTCTTTTGCAGAGATTCGCTTCACCGACATCAGAAATGACAATCGACCCATCATTCCTTTCGACGTCTTTGGCTTCAGCCATGGCGGTCGTCTCGAGCTCAACGTCTCTCATGTCTCACTCTCCGATACCAATCCAGATCTGGACCTCTCCAAGGCTGGATTCTTCCTCTGTACTCGAGAATCGTGGCTTCATGTGATCCAGCAATTAGAGGAAGCGGAAATCTCTTGCGCTCTTCAATCCGACCTCGTCAAACCGGTCTACACCTTCAATTCACTCAAAGGTCAGGACCGATTCGATGTTCTTTATTCCGAGAGTGATGCCGATCAATACACTCTCGTTTTTGCTAACTGTCTTCAGCAACTTAAGGTTTCTATGGACGTTCGATCTGCTATGTACAATCTCGAAGGCAAAAGCGGTCGCCGGGATTATCTTTCGGCTGGGAAAACCATCCTCCCGAGGATTTACTTCATTTTCTCTATGATTTATTTCTTGCTCGCTATCGTATGGATTCATGTTCTTTACAAAAAGCGATTGACGGTTTATGGTATTCATTTCTTTATGCTTGCTGTTGTGATCTTGAAGGCTTTGAATCTTATCTGTGAGGCTGAGGATAAATCGTACATTAAGCGCACTGGGAGCGCCCATGGTTGGGATATTCTGTTCTACATATTTAGTTTCTTAAAGGGTATCACCTTGTTCACTTTGATCGTCTTGATTGGCACTGGTTGGTCTTTCTTGAAACCATATTTGCAGGACAAGGAGAAGAAGGTCTTGATGATTGTGATTCCATTGCAAGTGGTGGCTAATATTGCCCAGGTTGTGACTGATGAAACTGGGCCATTTGAGCAAGAATGGGTCACTTGGAAACAGGTGTTCTTGCTTGTTGATGTGATCTGTTGCTGTGCTGTTTTGTTCCCCATTGTCTGGTCAATCAAGAACTTGCGTGAGGCTGCACGAACAGATGGAAAAGCAGCTGTGAATTTGATGAAATTGACCCTTTTTAGACAGTATTACATTGTGGTTATATGCTATATCTACTTCACTCGGGTTGTCGTTTATGCACTTGAGACGATTACATCGTATCGGTATCTTTGGACGAGTGTGGTGGCCGGGGAACTGGCAACGTTTGCATTTTATGCATTCACTGGTTACAAGTTCAAGCCTGAGGCTCATAATCCTTATTTTGTAGTTGATGATGAGGAAGAGGAAGCAGCTGCTGAAGCACTGAAGCTTGAAGATGAGTTTGAATTGTGATGAAGAAGTGGGCGCGCTCTTCTGATTGTGAGTTGTAAGGTAGAAAAATTCTCCTTCCCAGTTTAAAGTATATGTGTATTTTTTTGTTCAATCTGGCAATTACAGGCATGGCATGATGTCTTCCTGATATATGTTTTTGGTATTTCCATATCTCTCAAGTCTGTAGAATAACATATATCAATGTCTGTGATTTGGATTGTGTGTACACATACTGACCATAAAGCATAGTGTTGTACCTTTCATGAGCTATTGGTCTTGTCAATCTCTTGTTCCTTATGGCTCACAAATGCGTGTTCTGCACTTATAAGTTAGAGCTTTTGACTAGTTTTTGATTTGTTTTGTTTTTTCTTCATTCATTTTCGATGTTTTTTCTCTCCCTAGGTAAACTTTTGAATTTCTGGGGGAATTCTAAAAACAAAAATATAATTTTTTCTCTTTCCAAAACTTAGCTCGGGTTTTGCTATAGCAAATCGAGCCCCCCTAGATGTCCAGTCAACTGCTGCGCCGCAACGCTCCTTTCCTTTATGAGTTTGATAAAAAGACTAAAAAACATTTCTAAAAAGTTGTAACGGTCCAAACTCACCACTAGTAGATATTGTCTTCTTTAGGTTTTCTTTGCTGGGACTCTCATTAAGGTCTTTAAAACGCATCTGTTTTTCACTCTTATAAAAATGTTTTGTTCCTATTCTCGTTGGCACTCGTTCCTATCTCCAATTGATGTGGGATCTCACATGTAAAATTAGAAATTGATATATGAAAAGTTCTTAGCATACATTTTGGGGTGGAAAGACAATTTCTTGACCGGCAATATCTTGACCTTTTAACTAGTGCAACCTGATAAATGTATCCAAATATTGTTCTATACAGATGGATAGGAAATTGGGAGGCAGGCTTGTGTTGTAATAAGAAACTAATCAGGTAAATCTCATGGCACAGAGTTCCCTCCAACTGGACTGCCATTTTGATACTGCTTATAAAGAGGTTTTAGGTGTGATGTGATTTTTGTGCTTCTTTCCAACCTCATTATATTAAGGGGAATTTATGTGAGTGGTGTCTAGTTCCTACGAATCATTATAGGGTTAGTTATAGAAGAGTTTAAATGTAACTTAAATTATCAATTTCGCTCCTTAGGTAATAAGAATCCAATTGATAATTAATCAAACTTTTGAATTCTTAAAATCTCTTTTAAAATAGATATCGTATTGATTATCATTTTGACTCCTTCATGTTAGTGAGAGGCAAGATGGTTGAATACGAAATACTATCCCCATTTAAAATGTAACAGAGTGATTCTCTTTATGATAAACAGATTTATTTTATAAATTTATTATTACGGGTAGTTCCTGCAATTGAATGTTTACAATTTTATTAGACATGAAATTTATTAATTCTTTTAAAAAAAATTATAATTTTCAATACTAAACTTATCATTTAATTTAACCCTACAAGAAAGAAAATACATATTAACTAGCAATATTCTCATCAACCTTTCATAACAATTTGAAAACTTCATCAAAATATCATATAAAACTTCATTTCCCATCATTGCAATTTGTCTAACAGTGATGAATGGTCTACTAGTATATATAATAGTAGCATTCACGTGACAAAGTAGATGATAATTGATATGTACTCTTTGTTCTTTGAATGGTCGAAAGTTCAAATCTTTCGTACCAAAAAAGAAAAATACTACTTAATACTCAATGATAATCATAAGCTCATCAAAGAAAGTTACAACAAAAGCTTTCTGTACCGGTCTGCCTCTTCAGCCATCTCCTCTAGGTTTCTATCTTTCCTCTCCTTGTCCAAATCAAGATGCTGCTTCATCTCTTTCTCCTTCTCATCAATCTATATCACAATACAAAACATGAATTAGATTTTTGCTTTCCTATCACAACTCTAAAAGTATTGTGATATATAGAAATGGATTCATCATCATCTTACAGCATCATAAATCTCATCATTTTTCTCAAAGTCACCACCCTTCCTTGGGAGAATATGAATGTGGACATGGGGTACAGTTTGTCCTGCCTGAGGACCATCCTACAAGATCACCCTCAACTAATTACGAGGTTAGGAGAATAAAACACAAATCCATAGCTCTGTCCAGTGCCACACCTACCCGTCGATATCTTTCCAAAGACGATGCGCATTACAAAAACAAACAAATAAACCATGTTGATTCAACAGAGTTCAAGTCACCTCATTCATTTTAAATATTAGAACTATTTGCACAACTCTAAGATTGAGTAGCCTCAATGTGCTTTTGAATGCCTTACTAAACTATGGAACTAACCAAAAACTATGAATATTTGAAAATGCACTTTTCACCCGACTAAAAACTCACTTCTTGCACCACAACACATTGTAATAGGGCATCCAAGGTAACAAACAGAAAGAAAGACATGGCAAGAATCCAGGTAGACAAAGAGTATATTATGACAGTACAAGAAGAATAGTAATTAATGATTTAACATCAATAGAAAGGTTATGATGCTAGGAAACTTCAAATTACTTGACTCCAAAAAATTAGAACAGCAACTGCAATGAAGGCTCTAGAAAGAAATTTTTTTGACTAAAATAAAACAGAACCCAACAAACAAAGTTGATTAAATATCAGGTGCATCGATCAAATGCCAGTCTACTACCAATGAGTTGAAGACAAGTAAAGGAATCAATGTCTAAAAGAAATCTGTATTTATATATCTTCAAAATGGCTTACTTGAATTGCAAATGTGAGTGATGAAGCTTCATGGTATGACTCTAACTGACGACCAACCCGTTGAGCAGCGAGCCATAGGTCACAAGTCTCGTCAGGAGTGAGATCAGCAAAGCGCTGAACTTCACGCTTTGGGCAGACAAGCACGTGTATGAAATGTTAAGTCGAACTAAATTTGAGTGTTTAACAAATTGAACCATAAATTCACATGTATCCTGATGAGAATGTAACTTACCAAAGAAATTCAGGGAAATCTTGGCAGGAATCCATTATATAGGCATAATATTTGCAAATGCTTCCTACCTATTTGAACATATATAATCAACACAAATTGAATTGTTGAACTCCTAACTAACAATACCAGTATACCACCAACATAATTCTTATATCTATACAAATGCATTTAACAATTATATTGGCATGAATATCTTTTGCAATCAAAACATTTGAAGTCACTACACAATGTAAACCTGTTAAGCTTTCCACTAGTAAATATGGACAACCAAATGTGGGATACTAGATATTGTGCTAAGAATTTCCTTGTGTTGGAAAAAGATGAAATGGAAATAAGAGGTGCTGCTCATTATATTGAAAGATGAGTATAGAATAAATTTGAAGGATAATATTGAGAAAAGATAATGCATGGGTTAGAAATCGAAACAGTGTTATCATTGTTAGCTCAAATCTCAGGGTCATGATGAAACATTTGATAAACGACTTCTAGAATCGTCATACAAGCACCTCCTAATATAGTCCAGTAAATTGTGCATCAAAAAGGATATGACCTGCAAAGCCAAAAGCAGTTAATCAAAGAGTAAGAAGGAGAAGTTAGAACATTGAATATAAGAACAAAACTAAACAGGTGCACTTCAACAAAGAGAGAAGCTCTTGCTCTAGAATACTGCACAAAAGTATCTTTTACATAAGATGCTCATACAAAAATTATTATTCCACTTCAATCATCTAAGAATTTCAGCCAAGCCAGGTTGATGATATGTCCTTACGTTAAATATTTTTGCATAAAGTAGACATTTCTACCTACCAATACTATGACTGTACCATGATAAAATCTCATGAAACTTTCTTCCGAACAAGTCATAAAGACCAAAAAAGCCAGTCCAATCAAAGAATGAAACAACGCACACACAAAGAAATAGTCAACACAAATTGAAAGACAATTAGAGACCAAAAGGGCTGATAGGAACAACAGAAGAAAATTATCAAATATGAAGCCTATACAGATTATTACTTAAATCTGCTCCATTACTCTTCAAGATTTCTAAAGTTTAATTGAAGAACATGTCTGATCAAGAGCACAGATTATTACTTAAATCTGCTCCAGATCTCGGTTTTACATCAATCGAGCTCTTTATACAAAAATAAACAGAAAAACATAGTTACTCAAACCGGTTAATCACAGAGAACTACACGATAACGGAAATGGCATTGAAGAAAACTAAAGTAGAGTACCAGGAACAAGAGGACGGAGGTTGACCATGGCGTAAGAGAGACTGGTGCAGTAGAATACTTCCTTCGGGTCAATCTTGTACCGCCCAAACGTGTAATTTTCTGATGCCATCTACAATCGGAAATGGAGGATGAGAAAAATTCGACGAACTGAAAAGGAACAACTACATGTGATGAATTCAAAAGCAAATTTGTGAAAATGAAGAAGAATTACCTTGGCGAAGGATTTTGTTGACGAAGAAGAAATGGAAGTAAACCCTAATTTCAGAAAACAAGAACTCGCAAGGGGAAGAAATGCACGCGAGGCGTGGAAACGCAACACCATAATTTTTTAGTGAAAAAGTTCATAATGAAAATTTAAAATTTAAAGATAAATTTTATTAATAAAAATAAATTTTCGAATTTTTTAATTTAAAATTTTATATCTAAAATTAAAACATAAATTCCTTCCAATTTTTTAATTTTAAAATTTTATATTTTGAAAAATTTTATTAATAAAATAAAATTACAAATTTAAAGATAAATTAAACATAAAAATTAAATTTATTGATAATACTTTTAATTGAATTTTAATCATTTAATTGGATTAATCTTTAAAATTTTATATATTTAGTATATAAATTTTAAAAAATATTGATAATTTTTTATATTTTTAATTTTATATCGTGTAGAACCGATCTCTATTGAAATTTATTACGAGACAGTCGTGATATTAGATACTCTGTTATGCATCTTTACATCTTGTAAAATAGAGTAATTATCATAGCAACAAAGCAAAACGCAAAGAAAAACGACACTTAAAAAACAGACACGAAATCTCTTCCACAATTTGTTGTTGTCAAAGAAAGACAACATTACAAATTTCAACCGAATCTCGTTTTTTTTTTTTAACTATTCGCTCTCGGATTGGAATCGTAAATGTTTTCCTTTGGGCGTCGGTACTCCCTTCAAATGGAGGACGCTCGGTGACACCTCGTCATGGCTCTCGTCGCTAACTTCCTCAATCAGTTCATCTTCACTATCATACACGAACCTCGTGTGCTTCCCTGTAAAATTCTTTGCTTTCCCCTTCTCGTTCACACTAATTATACTAAGTCCCCAACATAGCTCGTCTACCAACCCGTCTTCGTTGTCTTCTTCCTCTTCCTCGTCCTCGATCAGTTCCTCTTCACTATCATACACGAACCTCACGTGCTTCCCTACAAAATTCTCCGCTTTTCCCTTCTCGTTCACACTAATTTTACGAAGTCCCCACTTTAGCTTGTCTACTTCCTCTTCCTCTTCCTCGTCCTCATCCTCGTGTTCGATCAACTCTTCTTCATCCACGTCTTTGCCGTGGCTGCTTGCATTCGCTTGAATCGACCACAGAGAAGAGACGTCGTCATCTTGAGACAGCGACGGCGATAACGACGACAACTTCTCTTGACGGGCGAGAACAGATGAGCAATCTGATGACGTATCTTCATCGATTATCTCGGATTTCTCAGCGAAATCCAACAATAGAGACCGAGTAATCTGATTCTCTTCTTGTTTCTTTGCGTTAAACAGATCAACGTCAATGGGATTATCGTTTGTGATATCGAAAAGATTTCCATCCCGAGACGTATTCAAGATCTGCAGCGTGTTTGTCGGGATCGGGTCGAGAAGTCCCGCCGGCCAGCTATCTAAAGAAAGCTTAGAAATTTCAGCTTCTTCTTCCACTTTCTGCAAAAGGGTTTTCACTTGCCCTCTCAATAAGGCTTCCCCTGATCCGGGAGTCATCATCTTCGGCCGAAAACTCCTCTGTTTCGTCGCAGACGATATCGGTGTCGTCAAATTCACCGCTGCCAAGCTGACAATGGGGGAGTCATTAGTAATGTCGATAAGCGCCGATCGATCTTGCCCTTTCGCCCCAACCAAATCTTGCGAATTTCGACTCCGCTCCCGGGATTTCGATAAGCCATTGCTGTCATAATCCTCAACCGTCCCTAAAAACACGACCAAAAGAACGCATTCACATTAGAGAATCAAAGATTAAATTTACCATAACCCATCAATTTAAACCCGATTGAATCGATCTTTTAGTTTCTTCAAGAACGGGATTTCAAAGAACGTAGAAACGAGGCTCACTGTCATTGACGGAGTTTGCAGCAGCGAGCGTTTGGGATCGAGTTACGCGCCTGATCGATGACGGAGTCTCCATTGAAAGCTCTGAGAAGACGGTGGAAGAATTAGGATTCCGGTGACGGAAACGGAAGAGGAGAGGAGGTTTTATAGGACACGGGAACGGAGTAAATAAAAATATGACCGTTGGAGCGTGAGAGTCCAGAGAAACGCGTTTTTGAAAAACTAGCCGTTTGAGCTTTCTATAAGCAAAATATTTGTTAACTGGAACGGGGCCGGCCGGCGAATTGTATAACTTTGGGGGTATTTTGGTGATTTGAGAAAATTATTGGGCTCGAATTATGGGAATGTATGGAGGGGGTATTAATGTAATTTGGCCGGCGAATTGTATAACTTTGGGGGCATTTTGGCGATTTGAGAAAATTATTGGGCTCGAATTATGGGAATGTTTTTCTAATATAATTATACGGAGGGCATTAATGTAATTTAAAAAATGTCTCGCATTATAATACATATTTGTGAAAATTGTTTAGCATTAGTTAAATAATTTATCCTAATTAATTTCACTAATTTTAACCAAAAAAAATTAATATAAAAACTTTCCTAAATTAACTAACTAACTTTAATACAAATACGTTTTAAATTAGTTTTAAAAATATCCATAATAAATTTCAAAAAATATATTTTTTAATTAAAAAATTTAATATACCTTTACACTTTAAAAAATAATAATAAATACCCTTATTTTTAAAATAATAAATAATAAATAAATTTTAAATTTTAAAATATTAAAATGTTCGGACATAAGGTATTAATAGACAATTTTTATTCATATATTAATAGTAACAATTTTTTTGTATTCTCTTTGAGATAATATTAATGCTACTTTTAAAATTTTATAAATATTTTGTGACAGTAATAATATTTTTAATTTTTTTAAAAAAAATAAAAGGTATTAACAAAAAAAAATTAATTTAAGGGTTTTTTTTTTTAAGATTATTAAAAATTTAAATGTATTTTTTAAATAAAATATAGTGCAAGGATATTTTTTTAAAGACAAATTAGGAATATTTTTATTAATTTAATATTTTAATAATATTAGGTTTTACCAAAAAAAAAAAGAAAAAAAAAGTTAATATAATAATTAAGTAATAAAATTGGAAAAATAAAACGTGACAAATAAATGGGGATTGGATGGTTGGTTTATTAGGTAGGTGACAGATCCTACCTTCACATTCCGCCTCGCTGGGCCCACCTTTAACGGCCTATAAAAGCCACGTCCCACTTGCTTCACTGCAACGAAGCCCGCCATTTTTGCACTCCCCAAACAAATTTCTCCGAATCGAATGGAAGGCCGCTTAACTTCCACTCTCACCGATCTTGCCGATGAGCCAACTCTGCAGCCCGATTTCATCCGCGACGAGGATGAGCGTTCCAAAGTCCCTTACAACCAGTTCAGCAATGAAGTCCCGATCATCTCCATCGCCGGAATCGACGACGTTGAAGGCGGCGGCAGGGCCGAGATCTGCCGGAAGATCGTTGACGCTTGCGAGGACTGGGGGATCTTCCAGATCGTCCACCATGGCGTGGATTCGGAAATTGTTTCCGATATGGCTCGTCTCGCTCGAGAGTTTTTTGCACTTCCGTCCGAGGAGAAGCTCCGTTACGATATGACTGGCGGTAAGAAGGGCGGATTTATCGTCTCCAGCCATCTCAAGGTAATGATATTGAATAAACCTCCTCCGATTCTCCATTATTATGCTCATGGTTTTCAGATCTGTGGTTTTCATTTGTTAAAGTTAAATATCGCAACATTTGGATGCATGAAATTTGTTTAAAACATTATAAAATTCAAAAAATAAACAAAAAATTATTGAAATTAATAAATATACAGTTTATAAATTTTATATGAAATTCAAGTTAGTAATATGTTTCATGGATTCATGTCTCGATCTCATGTGTATCGAGGAAATCGGCTTATTTATATAAAAATTAGGGCTAAATTATATGTAAATCAATTTCAAAACTCTAAATCAGATGAGATGGATCATTGACATTAATCGAAAAGGAAGGACGTGTAGAATTTAATAGCTCGGTGTTGATCGTACTCATAAACTTTCAAAATCATCTTAGCTTACTTTTAAAATGGTTGCTATTGAGCTAATAGGTTACTGTAAATGGTAAATTGACAGGGAGAAGTTGTTAAAGATTGGCGTGAGATAGTGACCTACTTTTCGTACCCGATTAGAAACAGAGACTATTCCCTGTGGCCAGACAAGCCAGAGGGGTGGGCGGCGAAGACGGCGGAGTACAGCGAGAAGATGATGGGATTGGGGCGTAAGATGTTGGTGGTTTTATCAGAAGCCATGGGGCTGGAGAAGGAGGCCATAGCAAAGGCCTGTGTGGACATGGACCAGAAGATTGTGGTGAATTTCTATCCCAAATGCCCTCAGCCGGACCTCACTTTGGGGCTGAAGCGCCACACTGACCCTGGAACCATAACGCTGCTGCTGCAGGACCAGGTCGGTGGGCTTCAGGCCACCAAGGACGGTGGCCGGACGTGGATCACTGTCCAGCCCGTCCAAGGCGCTTTCATCGTCAACTTGGGAGACCATAGCCATGTAAGTCTACTCTTTTTTTAAAGTGCTCACCCATGATTAAAAGTTGCTAATCAACTTTGCACCTTCATCTTTCAAATTTTAAAAATATTTTAGTTTCAAAAATTTCATTAACCCTAGACTTTTTTTTTTTTTTTAATAACCCAAATACACAATTTATTTTTAAATTGGTTCTTTTAATTAACTAACTATTTGAAGAGTAGATAAATAATTTATGTTCATATTTTAACCCTATTCTAATTATAAATAAATTTTAAATATTTTTTTCTTTTTAAAAAAATAAGGTATGGATTTTAAATTTTTTTTAAAGTTTTATAAATAAAATTTAAATATATATATATATATTTCTATTTTAGTTTTAAGGATATTAATAAAACCTAAAAAATTCAAAGTATTTTCCTGTATAGAAAAATTTTAGTACTTGTAGAAAATAGAATTTCACGTCATTTATAAATATTATTTAATATGGTTGCATCATTCTTAAAATGTTAGTAATGTATAAATATTATTTAATATAGTTGGATTTCACATCATTCTTAAAATGTTAGTAATGTATAAATATTATTTAATATGGTTGGATTTCACATCATTCTTAAAATGTTAACGTAATAATCAATTAATGAGAGTAGTACCCACACCATCCTTGAATAAAGATGTGTCTAATTTTGTGTCTAATAACGTAAAATCAATTTTGTGTCTAATATGTTCGTAAGCTTTATAACTACTAATAATATTAAATATACCTTAGACATAAAATTGAACTTTTAGAAATTTATCAGATAATCTATTAAATAACTAAAAGTAGTAATTTAACTTTTTATATATATATATATATATATATAAACTTATCGTAACAACTCCGAGAGTGGAGAATTGAGAAAGTTAAAATGTATGTGAAGTGTGAGGCTTTTATTAATTAATAAATAATTTTAATAAAAGTAAAATTATAATAAAAGTTTAGGTCTTTATTGTATAGGATGTGGATTCAAATTTTCATTCTCAAAGGGCAAGAGAGGATTAAAAGATTTCCCGCTAAATATAACATTAAAAGCTTAAAAATATTGATTACAAAAGTTATAATTTTTTTTCAAAAATTTTTATTTGAGTAACATAACTTTGATTGAGAATACAATCTTAACTAGGAAAACTATGTTGAAATGACCATATATTATTAAATCCTTAATATGCTAAATCCAAATCCTTACTAAATATTTTTAGTAACGGGGAAAAATTTAGGACTCGTAATAACGGATTTGGGTGCTCTAGCCAGCTATTACCTTCTTCATTACTGAGTAATGAATCTCCTGATCTAGCTTTGACCACGTATTATTGATGGTTGCAGCAGTATCTAAGCAATGGGAGGTTCAAGAATGCAGATCACAGAGCAGTAGTGAACTCGAACTCAAGCAGGCTATCAATAGCGACGTTTCAAAACCCTGCGCCGGAGGCTATTGTGTATCCATTGAAGATCAGAGAAGGGGAGAAGCCTGTTCTTGAGAACCCCATCACCTTCAGTGAGATGTATCAGACCAAGATGAGCAGGGACATTGAGCTTGCAAGGCTTAAAAAGCAGGCCCAACAGCAACAACAAGCCCAAAAGCTTGTTGGATAAGAAGGCCCATTTGGTGGAAGCCCAAGCCCAAGCCCATTTACAAAAATCTTCTCTCATCTCTTCTGTATGTCATTGGTTTGTGTTGTGAAGCTAATATATTGCAATAAATAAGAACAAAGCTATAGTAAACTGAATTTTAAATTGATATGCCTAAATACACTTTTTTGAATCTGGACCCAATCAAAATAGGAAAAAAAAAAAAGAAAACAAAAACAAAATGGCCATACCCAAAAACTAATAGCTAGAGATGATAAAGTTCGAAAACGTGATACTAATTGTATAAGATTATAAGATCAGACACGGTATATATTAAATATCTCGATCATGAACATTATAACATTTGCATGAGTTTGAAAGTTCGATTGCCCATTGGGAAGAGTGATGGGGATTGGGGAACATTATAATGTATTAAATAAAACTATTCACGGAACGCGAGAAGCAGATGAATAATCATCCGCTTCTAGAAGAAATCGAATAATTTCTTGCTTAACTAAATCCGAGTAGCTAAACCTTGTAGCGTATATGAATTTGCTTACAGAAACTCAGTTGTTTCAAAATTCAAACTTCTAAAAAAATACGACAAAGTCTAATCTCAAATCTCAAATCTCAACATGGACAAAAAGACTCGGATTAACTCACCAAACAACCCTATTGATCGCTCAGGATATTTATGAGGCCAAATCAATACCTGCGGCTGGATAAGCTAGTACTCATGCGTCTCCCACGATGGTCTACTTTCATTTAATATATCACTTCTTATTGCTCGCTCAATAGGTCTAACAGCGAAGAGATACTGTGAATAACAAGCCAACATAAGAAGCAAACAGATATGGGGTCAGTCCCTAAATCGTAAGAGAAGAGGAAAATTATAGAATCGTTTTAAGTTTCAGATGCATACTTGGAGTACAA